TTCAGGTGAGGATCCTGTGAGTGAGATGTCAGAGGAAACTGTCACATAAACATGACCAATGTTGTGTTGTGTTGTTACCGTGTTCTCCAGGTTCTGTCGTTCTCTCAGTTGTTGAGGACCCTGTAGAATTTAACCAATCAGAGTCACTTTATCGAACTGCAGCTGTAACGTCCCTTTTTTTTAACCAGTCAGCAGTGTCTGGTTTAACCTGCAGTTTCTCTAATGTCAACTACATGCTACTGTGATTACATTTTTAGCTCCCACAGATTCTTTGAGCTCCTTCTGTTGTCAGAGGGACAGCAGAGTTCAAGTCCTGTAATCATGACATAGAAAAGTATGGTAGCTGTGTTGGTTTGCAGTCTCTATAGTGAAATAATGAAATGTTTGAAAAGAGGCCTCTCGGTAATGTGGTAACTTGGTTAAGTTCTGATAGGTGTGTGGGGGTGGACTGCAGCACCAGACTGCATTTGTATTTTCATCAAATGAAAGATTCTGTGAGATTCTGATGGGAACAGTGTGTTGAACTCAGGCGAGCGCTGACCTCTGAACTCTGGCTTGACTCGGAGGAGGCTGACGATGAAGAGGACGAAGAGGAGGATGATTGTTTCTGTGGAGGCGCGGCAGGAGTGGTAGAAAACTACGAAACACAACAAACGCCAAATAGATTAAGCAGTCGACTCCAAGCAAAGTATTCAGGAAATGTAAATCAGTTGACAGCCAAAGGCTCCGTGACTGACCTGAGAACAAAGTGCAGAACCTGCTGGAGCCAATTATGAAAAGAGACATGAATGTGTTCCGTGTGAAGTGTTCTAGAGTCAGAGGAAGCAGCTTTTGTGTATTTTTGTAATTTGTTTACAGGACACAGTTTGGGTCGCCAGGCTGTCATGGCAACCCGGGGGGGGGGGAGTTTGGTTGATAACACAGACCACTAGCGTGTTTGGTTCTTTCCCACCGTTGCCAATGTGGCACATCCCAAATATGTGACCACATTTGATGTTATTTTGGTAATTATGAGAAATTGTTTAACACTACTTTATATTATTGTAATAATATTTGCACACTTAGTAAGAGCAGTACTGTATAAATAATAATGTAGAGGGGCAGAACCTTTGGCACTACCTGGTTGCAGCTCCCCGGTTGCGTAGTGTGGAGCAACTTCCTGTTACCGCTCATACGCAATCTGGACGAATTTGAGAGTGCCGCCTTTGTTCCTGCTCTCACACTCTACATATATTTTGCAGTCTGTCTTTGCAGAAATTCTCTTTGTTGACGTGGTCACCGTGCCAGCCGGGGCCCGTAACACCAACAGCTTGTTCAGAGGAAGTCCAGAGGCTGCTCTGGATCGTTGGTTCTCTGTTTAACTCTGTGAGGTCTGAACCTGACTGTGTTCAGGCTGTGAGATGACGTGATGTGAACTGTGATGTACAGATAGAATAGAACTGATGCTGGGGAGTCTGTCTGTGAGTTCTGTTGCTTCTGTAGTCTGTGTTATCATGGTTAGGGTTAAACCCTAACACGCTAGTGGTCTGTGTTATCATGGGTTAGGCTGAAGCTCAGGCTGGGGGCTCACGTCGAACCTATGGTGTTCATGGGAGCTACTGCAGCACTGTTCTAGTTTGAGCAGTGCAAAGAATTATTACTTAAAAGGCTGAAGCTGGAGCAGCTTAAGCAGGTTGTTCATACGTATGGTGCTTTATGTGAGCTATTCATTCCTGAGCAGTTTAAAACTCAGTTGCTCCTCCCAGTGCGGTCTGGACTGGTGAGCATACGGTGAACACAGCAGCACAAGCAGCGACTGGCAGATGACTGTGTGCTGACACATGGGGGCGACTATGAGTTCAGGGCTCAGGACAACAGTAAGTATCGCTCAGCAGGTAAACGTAGAGCTGACAGATCTGCGTGGAGTCAGGTTCAGGTAGATCAGAATGGAACAGGTCGCTACTGTCGAGGCAGGGGGCAGTGGAAAGCTGAATGCCCTGTTAAAGGTCATTCTGAAGGTGGGCAGGTGAAGCCTGTTGTGCTAGCTGCTAATGGCAGGAAGCTAACTCGTGTCCTCTCTCCTGGTGTCAGCCCTCCCCGAGTAAAGGTAGAATCTGGATTAAACTACAGTAATTTACTGTCAGATTTCTCAGCGTCTGTGTCTGATGGTCACTGGTAGGTAGTGATGGGAAGGTACCAGTAAAAGTCCTGACAGATACTGGAGCTTGTCATTCACCGATTGTGAGTTCTGTGCTGCCTTTCTCTCTGCTCACTGCCGGAGGAGATCACGTTCTGATGCAGGGAATGGGGTTCGATGTGTTGCCTGCACATAAATTAGTGCTTGACTGTGGTTTAATTCGGTGTGACGGTACCATGGGGATGCATCTGGCTCTGCCCATCCGCTGGCTGGAAGTTATTCTGGGGAACGACCTGACTGTACTTCACAAGGAAACACTCCGGACACTTTACATGGAGCTGAGAACACTCAAGTTCTTCTACTGCTGATACTGTACCAATATGTTTTATGATTGATGGACTCACCGTGACGTAGACCTGATCTTGAAGGAGTAGCTGCAGGCCGCCATGTTTTCCTGGTAACTGTATGTACGACACAGACGCACAGGGTCCTGAATCCATCACATGGTAAATTGGTATCGTATCTTGTTAATCACAACTGGAACCCCGTTGGACCCCCTGCTGGACCAAACAATTCCAATAAACAGGAAGTATCTTTGGGCTGCATGGTGGCTCGGGGGTTAGCATGATTGCCTTGCAGCTAGAAGATCTGGGCCTGAGATCCTCCTGCGTGGAGTCTCCATGTTCTCCCCGTGCAGCGTGGGTTCTCTCCGGGTTCTCCGGCTTCCTCCCACAGTCCAGAAACATGCTGAGGTTAATTG